GAGGTAAACTGCTGACTCAGCTCAAGGTAAACTGCTGACTCAGCTCGAGGTAAACTGCTGACTCAGCTCGAGGTAAACTGCTGACTCAGCTCGAGGTAAACTGCTGACTCAGCTCAAGGTAAACCTTTGACTCAGCTCAAGGTAAACTGCTGACTCAACTCGAGGTAAACTGCTGACTCAGCTCAAGGTAGACCTCTGACTCAGCTCGAGGTAAACTGCTTTGTTTGTGTCACAGATGAGCGTTCCCGGCTGTGATAAAGTCGTGCTGAAGAACTCCATGAACGGCTCCAGATTTGTGGTGAGTTCAAACAAAAAATGCTGAGTCAGCCGAGGAGACAAGGAGAGGAAGGAGAGGAAGGATCCTTCTTTGTTTCCTTTCCTCCTCTCTGACTCACAGGTGATGATCAATCAAAGCTAGAGATAAAAACTCACAAGTGTTTTATTTTTCCAGAATCTGAGTGATAACGACCTTCAGAAGTTCCCCAAACTTCATGTTCCGTAAGTACCGGACTCAGTTCTGACCCGGCAGAACTTCCTGCTTCTTAATGACCCGGATTATTTATTTACCCTGTTACCATTTAGTGTAAAAATCTCTGAAAGTCTGAAAAATACTCAACAACACCACCATAATCTAAACTGGACACAGGTCAAAGGTCAGATTAATCTGACAGGTCAGGGTTAATCTGAAAGGTCAAAGGTCAGGTTAATCTGACAGGTCAGGATTAATCTGACAGCTCAAAGGTCAGGGTTAATCTGACAGGTCAGGGTTAATTTGACAGGTCAGGGTTAATCTGACAGGTCAGGGTTAATCCGACAGGTCAAAGGTCAGAGGTTAATCTGACAGGTCAAAGGTCAGATTAAACTGTGCTCTGGTTTCTGCAGGATGATCTCCAGGATCCAGACTGACATCAGTAAGAATCAGGGGAAGAGGAGTCTCTTTGGTGGTAAAAAGTACGTTTTACACAAACTGAAGCAACACGTTTTAAACTCAAATAAAAATATCAGAGTTTATTGTCAAAATAATTTTATTCTCAGGTTTCAAAATAAAAGACTGGGTTTTAAGTTAGAGTTCAAGATAAACCTCAGTTTATAAAAACGTGTCTTTCTTTTTCTCAGACCGACCAAATATCAGGAACCAGGTGAGTCCATCCAAAACATTTCCTGCTGTTCATCCTCACAGCTGTGGCTTTCAACACTTCATCATACAGATCCAATCAATCCAAGTGAAAACATTAATGTTTAATGAGGGACATAAACATCATTTGAAGCAGATCTAAACATACAAGACATTTAAAGTCTCTAAAGATTATGTTCTTCATAGATTCAAACAATCAGAATTAACCTGAGTTTTTCTTTTTCATCCAAGAAGAAAATCTTTCAGGAATAAAAATAAAACCATTCAAGCAGAAATAAAAGTGTCCATCCCGCTGTTTGTCTCAGTCTCACTTTGTCTCAGGTTGTCTCAGTTTGAACATGTTTGTCTCAGTTTGTCTAAGTTTGAACATGTTTGTCTCAGTTTGTCTCAGTTTGTACATGTTTGTCTCAGTTAGTCTCAGGTTGTCTCAGTTTGTCTCAGTTTGAACATGTTTGTCTCAGTTTGTCTCAGTTTGTCTCAGTTTGTCTCAGTTTGGACATGTTTGTCTCAGTTTGTCTCAGTTTGAACATGTTTGTCTCAGTTTGTCTCAGTTTGAACATGTTTGTCTCAGTTTGTCTCAGTTAGTCTCAGGTTGTCTCAGTTTGAACATGTTTGTCTCAGTTTGTCTCAGTTTGTCTCAGTTAGTCTCAGGTTGTCTCAGTTAGTCTCAGGTTCTCAGGTTGTCTCAGTTAGTCTCAGGTTGTCTCAGTTTGTTTCAATTTGTCTCAGTTAGTCTCAGGTTGTCTCAGTTTGAACATGTTTGTCTCAGTTAGTCTCAGTTAGTCTCAGGTTTTCTCAGGTTGTCTCAGGTTGTCTCAGTTTGAACATGTTTGTCTCAGTTTGTCTCAGTTTGTCTCAGTTAGTCTCAGGTTGTCTCAGTTAGTCTCAGGTTCTCAGGTTGTCTC